CTCCCTCCCTCCCCCCCCTCTTTTGCTCTTTCTTTCCTCCTTTATTTTATCATGGGAAACACTTCAAGAGCAATTCTCTCCATCCTGGTCATATTTAACATTTCTTTTGCCAGAGAACCTCAAATCAGTATCTTCAAGGTGAGGGACTTCCTCCATGATGATGGTTCCTTTGTAAGTTTCATGTACCATGTGCTTAAATCAGGTTGGAATTAAGCCCTTTGCTGTGCCACAGAAGTGTCATGAGTACCATTCTAAAACTCCGAGGATCCAGATCTTTGTCAAGACAAAGGCATGGGTAATAGCAACAGCAGACATAATTAAAGGTCCTGGGAGCTCTCTGTGCTGAGGAGTGCAGACCTCAGCATGACACATAATAGCTGCATTTCTTTCTCTCCTCTCCTCCCTTTTCCCATCTCCTCCCTTCTCTTTCTTTTTTTCTCACTCTCTTGTCTCTCTCTCTCTCTCTCTCTCTCTCTGTCTCTCTCTCTCTCTCTCCACACACCCACACACACTTCCCCCTCTTTGCCCAATTCCCTTTAATGACTACTCTTGTGAGAACCACCATAGGGGCCAATGCATGGTTGAAATACACTCTGATCAGGGTAAGAATCTTTCCCCTGACCTTAATGTCATTGACATCTTCATTCTAAGACACAGATAGGTCTGGGACAAGACAGAAGACCCAGGGCCACATTAAGGAAAGATTCAACTCCATAGTTTTGTCTCTATTAGGTAAGAAATATTGAAACTTGTCAGTGAGGTCAGTAAGATCTCTAAGAAAGGATTGGAAAGACTCAATAAATGCAGCACAATGCAGCACTGTCCAAAGTGCAAGCTTGCCATCATGCAGCAGAGCCAGAGAAAGAGAAGACACTTTTGATGCTGGCGGTCCTTGTCTCCGTACCCGACTCACCACAAAAAATGTGCAATGAATGTTCTGCAGGAATAGGATGGGCTCTCACCCCAAAATTGGCTTGGATATTGAGGCTGAAAATGCTACACATTCAAGAGGGTATAAAAAGTTTTATTCTTCATATAGACATCTCCCATTATGGAGGAAGCCTAGAAGCCTACCTAAGCTGGTCTGCAATGGCGTGAGAGGTCAAGGAAAGCGGTTGGGATTTTTAAATCATGGTTAGGGTGTGGGTTCAGAGTGAGAGTTTCTACATATGTGAGGTTTGAATTCTCTCGCTGTCACCAAAGGAGGAAGGAGCCAGCCTTACTAAAAATTGAGATATCATTAACACATACCAGTATATTAGTTTTAAGTGTATAACACAATGATTCAATATTTATATATATTACAAAATAATTATCGCAACAAGTCTAGTTAAGATCAGTCATTGAACAATGTTACAATTTTTATTGTAATAAGAACTTTTAGGATCTACTCTCTTAGGAGCTTTCAAATACAAAATATAATATTATTAATTATAGTCATCATGCTGTACATTACACCCCCATGCCTCTTTTATTTTATAACTGAAGGATCAAGCCTTTCTTATCAACTAGTCCAGATGTTGGGCAGAAGGGGAAGAGGAAGAGAGTGGTTTAAATTGGTAGTAGCCAGATATCACGCGCAAAAAAAAAGGAATCAGACACTTTATTACATAGCTCTTATAGTATGTTTATAAATAGTGCAAATCAAGAGAATTAATTACACTGCATTTGGATAAAATAAAATACAGTAAATTGCTTATTAGTGTCCATTAATTAAAGAAACTAATAAAGAACTTTTTTTTCTTAAGAGAGGAAGATATTTCTCATTGCTTTCCTTCACATGATAGGTTACCATGTTTATGGATTTTTAAATCCTTAATAACCTTATTTCTCTAATTTCTCTATCTCATTCTTTCCAAAGGGATGCATGTAGTAACAGCTTAAAAGAGCGAATCCAATGTGAAAAAGGTTCTCAGAAGAATGTTTGTCATACCTGCAAAATACTACTGAAGGATTATGGTCATCAAGTGTGAATATTTGATTTATGAATTGCTTAAATTCAAATTATAGACACACTGATGGATACTTGTATACTTGTTTCCTTTATACCAATCCTCCTTTATTTTCCAAAAGGTGTCTGTGCTTTGTGGACCCACAGAACATAACAGGTGTCTTGAAATTTCTCCTCCTGGGACTCTCAGATGATCCAGAACTGCAGCCTCTAATTTTTGGGCTCTTCCTGTCCATGTACCTGGTCACCATGCTGGGGAATCTGCTCATCATCCTGGCTGTCAGCTCTGACTCCCACCTCCACACCCCCATGTACCTCTTCCTCTCCATCCTGTCCATGGCTGACATTGGTTTTACATCTACCACCATCCCCAAGATGATTTTGGACATCCAAACTCACAGCGGAGTCATCTCCTATGCCGGATGCCTGATTCAATTGTCTTTTTTAAATCTTTTTGGATGTCTGGACAGTATACTTCTAACTGTGATGGCCTATGACCGGTTTGTAGCTATTTGTTACCCTCTGCACTACCTGGTCATCATGAACCCCCGCCTCTGCAGCCTGCTGGTTCTAGCATCCTTTTTGATCAGCCTTTTGGACACTCAGTTGCACTGCTTGTTGATGTCACAACTTTCCTTTTGCACAAATGTGGAGATTCCTCATTTCTTCTGTGACCCTGCTCAACTCCTCAAGCTGGCCTGTAATGATACCTCCACCAATAACTTATTAATCTATGTTATTGGTGTCATCTTTGGTGGAGTTCCACTCTCAGGGATCATTTTCTCTTACTATAAAATTGTTTCCTCCATTCTGAGAGTCCCATCATCAGGTGGGAGGTATAAAGCCTTCGTCACCTGTGGTTCTCACCTGTCAGTTGTCTGCTTATTTTACGGAACAGGCCTTGGAGTGTACCTTAATTCGACTGTTTTACATTCTTCCAAGAGAGGTCCAGTGGCCTCAGTGGTGTATACGACAGTCACCCCCATGCTGAACCCCTTCATCTACAGTCTGAGGAACAGGGACATCAAGAGAGCCTTGCAGATGCTCCTCAACAGAACAGCATAGTTTCAATACTCCCTCCCCCAACCCCCATTTTTTGGTCTATGATTAGAAATTACTACAAAACCAAACATCTGCAATTGGTAAACATGCCTCTTTTGGCACACAAGTTTTCTATCTCATGGTTTTCATTCCTTTTGATATATTATATCTGAAAGTTGCTTGTTTTGGCACATCTTTGATGGAATTAAGGGATTATTCTGTGATCCTATGTATGTCAAAATCACTGAACAATTGAGTTTAATTACAAGTGGAATATTATGTATTTGTCACCAATGACTCAGGCATCCTGTAGAAATTGACAACTATCTTTTGAATACATAGCTATATATGATTCCCAACCATGTTCACCATCCTAGCCTATTTTCCATAAAACTTTGGCTTTGTTCAAATTTAGAGAATGTGTGAGAGAATGTGTGTCACTGGTTCTCAATCTACGCTTCCTACTTGAAGCACCTGATGAGCTTTAAAATTCTTCATGGCTGAGTCTCATCACCATAGATTACGATTTAATTGGACTGGAGAATGAAAATATCATGAATTATTTTAACAGCACCCCAGATGGGTCTAATATCCAGCTAAGATGAGAACTATTGAATTTTTTCAGACATCTATATAAAGATGACTTGCATGTCTTGGGGTCTTTACTAGTTATTATTAGTTCCTGAAAATCCAAAAGTGATCAGAGCTCATAAAGTAGAAGATATGAAAGAGTTTGCCTTAGTAACAGCCAAAGGGATTTTTTCTCTCATATTCTGGTGAAATATCCTCACTCTACAGCTGTCCCTCTGTGCTAGATATTGCCCTCCTGTTTACTGCTCCAAACTTACCCATTTATACTGTAAGTTGG